ATAAAACTGTACTGACAGCCAGTATTAGCACTACTCCTAAAAATTCGGTACCCTCTGCTCATACAGAACTCCTCCCTTCACCTTATGTGCTTATGGAGAAACTCCAGCCATCAAGCTCTTTTTCAGTACTATCTTCAGAAATAGAACTTCTAAAGTTGTCTATAGGAGAACTTAAGGCTGAGTTAAGGGAAATAAAAAACAGCAAGTCAGTAAATGCTGGAAACATCGAAACCAATACCGAGATATCCAAATTATCAGATCAGATCAGCGATATCAGATCGCAGGTCTGTGGACTGACACCTCTAACTATCCTCATGAAAACGGTAAACCTTAACAAGCTTGACACAGAATCGGTAACTAAGGTAGATAACCTCATTAACTTTGTTACCACAGAAGTAACAAAACGACTCGACGCAAAACTGAGTGCTATTGTCTACAACGTTCCGGACAATGAGGCAATAAAAAAGGTACAGCGCATCTTACTTAGTGAAGCGAAAATGCCTAACTCCAAGACTAAGTGCTACAGGCTGAAGAAGAGTCAACATGAAAAGTGTTGTCCTATTCGATTTCAGTTCGAAACACCGGCAGAGACCAGAAAATTCATTCACTCCCAACACACCCTATCGCAAGCCAGAAACTACAAACATATAAAGGTCGGGGTGGACAAAACAGTTATAGAAAGGCGCGCACACAACTATCTCACTAAGACTAATTGTGAAATAGGTAATAGGACATTGCAGCAAGCCATTATCCCCAACCCTGTGAAAGATACAGTAGACCCCACCGCATCACCCCTCTCAAAACACACAGAAATGTCCCATCAGAGTGCAACACCAGCCGAAAGGCCACTAGACTGTAACCAAATAAATAATAAAACCATACCACCCATCACCGCAGAATCTAAAATGCCACTAAATAACCCCAGAAAAAAAGTTAAAACCCCCCGAAACTCGACTTTGTCCTCTCCTAGCTATAATTCCATTGGTAAAGATAAGGAAAATATGCCCCTAAATCATACCAACAAAAACAGTGGCAGCTTAAATAAGCCCACACTCCCCACGGTTAATAGTATTAGCACTCACAACGTGCTAAATCGCACCGTGGCACACACTAATATCCAATGTCACAACGATGTCACCCTAAATAGTACAAGTGGTAATAGTCAGAACTCGGCTACCAACAACTCAGGGTCTTCAGAGTATGGCACACAAACAAATTTCGACCGGATATATGGTACAAGTCTGCTGGGAACTAACCCAAAATGCAGTACACACGAAACCCACACAAGGACACAACTAGCATCAAACAATAGGTGGAATAATAAGCCATGGTCATCACAAGGATCCAATCATTTTTTATCCCCCGCGTCCCTGTCAGCGTTGAAAAAACAGCTGGTAGGGATGTTAACACTCCTAAACCACTAGTGCTGGCTCCCTCCTTGCATGAAAACAGGAACGGTCTAGTGCACCCGTATCCATTGGACACACTTGACACTTGCACAAGTATAGGCCAAATAAAGAACCCTACCCACTTCTGTAACCTAACTAAAAATAAAAGTTCCTTAGTCTATAGCAAATCCAGTACTCCAACTCCTAATTCTCCACCGAAAACAGCACACAACAACTCGATAGACATAGGTGAGCATGATGCTGGAACTCCTCTTAACATAGGATCGTCATGTCCAGCAGAACTACTGGGTGCTGAACCATATTCGGGGCTGACTAACGAACTTAAATACTTCAAATGCTACTTCAACTCTCATCTTTACGTAATCCTCATAAATGCTAGATCTGTTCTAAATAAATTGCCGATGCTCAGAGCACTCACAGTAATATACAAACCCCCTGTAATTGTCATCACTGAATCTTGGTGTCATTCGGACATCCTGGATGATGAAATAAGCTTAGATAACTACACACACTTTCGGTGTGACAGGGAAGGTGGTAAGGGAGGGGGTTGTCTCATGTACTTCCTGAATGAACTTACTGTATCACAGCTAGAAAGTAGTACACTTAACATGCCTGAGACTCTATGGGTTAATGTACACTTAAATAACGTAACAGCACTAATTGGATGCTCCTACAGAGCACCTGGCACCTTTAGTAATTACGAGACCCAACTCATTAATACTCTGGAGCAATTAACCGACTTACAATACGATCATAAGATCCTATGTGGGGACTTTAACTTACCTGAAATCAACTGGGATATACCCACAGGTCCAACTAAATTTGATAAGTTCTTAGACACACTGGATATACTTGGCTGGAAACAAACTGTCACTACTCCCACAAGAGGTAACAACGTACTAGACTTAATCTTCTGCCACAATATAAGCCCCCTTTCAACGCTAGTAGGTTCTGAGTTCCCAGGGAGCGACCACAAAACAGTAATGTGTGCACTGCCAATTCCGCTGAGTAGCAATGCATCTCATACCTCCACTTCACAACAAGTAATATATAGGAACTATAGTAAGGCAAACTGGGCCTTAGTTGAATCGATGCTAAGATCCTCCAAATGGGATGAATACTTCACTACTGATGACCTATCGAGAGCCCTAACCATCTTCTACCATAACTCAAACATATGCTTAGATGCTGTCATTCCACTCCAAACACTAAAGGTTTCCCCACACAGAAAGTCATTCATAAAACCAAAGGATCGTAAGAAACTGAAGAAACTCTCAACAAGTTACTTCAAACACCACGACTTTGGCACTCTAGGTCTAATACTTAAAACCCTTAGCTCCATCACACAAGCTCAAGATTTCCGTATGAGAAAGGAAGAACGCATCGCAGTAGCCAGTCCTGCTAGAGTGTATGCACTCACAGAAATCTTAAGGAAGCGAATGAATCGCAAAAATCACAGCATTTCTCTCCTCATAGACAAAGGCAGGCTATGCACTAACTCTGCAGACATATGTGAACTATTCAACAAAACGTTTGCAGGTAACTACCTTAAGCCCTCAGTCCAGCTACTCGATATACACCCTATTACTAAAATGGCACCAACTCCACTGACACCAAACCAAATTAGCACTGTTCAATTCACTTACGCTGACATTAACCAAACTATAAGAACCCTCAAAAGTTCAAAAGGTTTCGGTACCGACGGTATATCATCTTACTTCTATAAATATGGTGGCCCTGACATTCCTCTACTACTGCTTAAAATATTCACAATGTCCCTAGAAACCCAAACTTACCCTGACATATGGAAGACTACATTCATTATGCCTAAACACAAATCTGGCTCGAAAACTGAAGTCAGTAACTACCGGCCAATCAATATCACACCTATAGCATCTAGAATCATGGAGAGACTAGTCAAAAATAACCTAATCAAACATATGCTTAGCTGCAACATCATAAGTCCGAACCAACATGGATTCCTGAAATCCAGATCATGTTTAACATGTCACCTAGACTTCTTCAATTTTGTAACCAGCAGTCGTGACAGACGGCAACTAGTACTTGTCATCTACTTTGACATTTCTAAGGCATTTGACCGTGTTGACCATTTACTGCTAACAAATAAACTGAACTCCTTAGGAATACGTGACCCATTATTAGGATGGCTTAAATCATTCCTTAACAATAGGTCCCAAATAGTTAAACTCGGGTCTGCAACCTCCAAACCTAGCCCTATCACTTCTGGTGTAGTACAAGGTAGTGTCATTGGACCCCTCCTATTTACACTATACATCAATGACATATGCGCTTGCTTCACGCACGGGAAACCATTCATCTTTGCAGATGACCTAAAAGTAGCTTATACATTCCAACGTGATGACTTAGGGAACTTCGAGAATGTAGTACAGAAGGAATTAGATAAAATGGCTGCTTGGTCGTCCCTATGGAATCTCCAATTTAATCTGAACAAATGTGGCTGGATCTGCTTCGGTGCACCCTCAATTGACCTGAAATTAACGCTCCAATCTGCTAACCTAACAAGACTCCGAAGTGTCGTTGACCTAGGCCTGAGGTACTCTAGTGACTTGACATTCTCAGAGCAAGTAGCATCACAGACTAGAAAATCGAGGATGCTCTTAGGATGCATACTCAGGAACTTTCACGACAATGAAGCCAAGCTAATTCTGTACAAAACATGTGTCAGACCACTACTAGAATACTGTCCATTTATTATAAGCAGCACTCGCACACGTGACAAGCTAAGGATGGAAAGTATCCAACGATATTTTACCTCAAAACTGCTTGGCTACGATTGTAAGGAAGACTACATCTCACGGTGCATGATCCTAAAACTCGACCCACTTTGGACAAGGCGACTTATTATAAACCTAATATTCTTCTTTAAGGTCCTTCACAAAATATCTTTCTCAGGTAACAGGGACATACAATTCGCACAGGAAGGTTCTTACGATCTGCGTAACCAAACTTCCACAGTGACAACTCATTCTTTTAAGTCAACACTCCGTGAAAACTTCTTCACAGTCATGTATTCTAAAATATGGAATAGCCTACCCCTAGATATCAGAACTTGCTCTTCGGTTACAAGCTTCAAACGCTCTCTATACAGACTGTTGCACTCTACAGATTATATTAATAAACTATTTACTCCTAGAACGAATCAAGCACTAATCTACTACAGCACCTAAAAGACGCACTTCAACACCCTTAGCAATCTTTAAACTATAAATAAACTAGCAGCATGGATGCATAAAGACATAGTACGGAACATACAGGATTAGTCTACCCTTAGAAATAGGACCTATCCCTCATTGTAACCTTCAAACGCTTGCTATGTAAACTGTTTTATTCTAAAGACTATCCCTACCAGAACCCATTACTTATTTCTAAAACGCATCAGTCATTAGAACAATAAAAACGCTCAGACTATTAATACACATTATGACATTAAATAAACTCTAAGACTTCGCATAAATACGTGAAAACGCAGATACAATATAGAAAAATGTTTACTTAAGTATAATTAAGATAAACATTTATAAATGAATCATGTATTAATGTTCTTTTCATGGTGACTCTAAAGAATAGCGGCCCAAACCGAAACGACCTTTCAACGCAAAAATGACCTTGACAGGGACAACTTCGACCAATGAGAAGGCTCAAAATGAAAGGCGCATAATTGTAAAAAACGGTTTATATATAAGTAATGCAGTCATAATAAATAGTTACAAAGGATAACGTTCGCGTATATGTTGCAAAAAAACCTCCCAGTTTCTCATAGGAGTCTTCATTGTCATATTAAACCAGTTTCTATACATAAATTCATCTAGATAACTGTAAATCATTGGATTTCTTGATCCATTAACAGCTCTTATCCGTCTTTTCAGACGACTCCATAAACTTTCGATGGAATTAGTGTGCGTTCCATCCACAGGATTCCTGAAACCCTCCGTGTGATTGACGACATGATGAATATACCCATGATTGGATAATTGACGGTAGGCACTCCATTCATCTGTGTGAATAGTCGTCCCAGGCAGCACCAAACGCTGAATAATAGGCAATAATACACCTGCACTGCGATTTGGAATCGCCTCTATATACCCTTTTCGTAGTGTTGTGTCGTATATACCCAATATCCACTGCTGGTTGGATTGTAATCTCCCCCGGTTATATTTCCTTTTTATCAATACAGTTTCATCAATATGTACGATTACACCGACTCCTCCAAGAACTTGAGTCAGACTGTTCATTTTCCACGAGGAAACATCTCTGCAGTAATTGTACCACTGCACTGCTGACACCTCTGAATTTTCTGTTTCGTAAGCCGTAGCTGCAACTGGTCTTTTGAGGACCCAGAAGTTACATATCATTAAGATTTTCGTTAACGGTAGTTTAGACCGAGAGAAAAAAGTTCCTAAGGGATCTGTAAACTAAAAAACAACGACAAACCATCTCGAAACGATTTCCTCCTTCGGCACTCAATACATCTGTATACAAAGCCATCGATGGCCTCTGCTTATATTTGTATATGCATAACTCCTCCGCACTGGCAAATTTTCGACAAAGCTATGAGTCCGTTATCCAAACAGTAATCGAAAACATCCATGATTACTTCCGAAAATGACACAGTCAGCTGATTCCTTGCTCAAGGTCACTTTTTTGTTCGAAGGTCGTTTCGGTTTGGGCCGCTATTCTTTAGAGTCACCCTTTTCATGTTCACATACTTTCTCTTTCTGGTATTTTGCTACTCCTATTCATCTTCTGGTCGAGGTCGAACAACCCTGCATCTAAACTGAAATGAGGATTAATTCCAAACCGTCTATCTCATAACCACTCAAATTCCATTCTACCATTTGAAGACGCTGGCGAACATGCTGTAAATGAGTATTCATGATCTGAAATGAAGAAGCAACTGGTTTTCAAACAGTTTTCAACGTTTTACTCAACTTACGTATACAGTCCGCCATGCAGACACAAATGGAGCAAATGGAGGATTCTGGAATCGACCTCGGCACCATTTGATGCAGTAAAACAACCCAACATGACCTTATTTAGTTTTCGTATCCACGATCAAATTTCTTTCCTGTTATGAAACTACGATAAGAGTGCTGAAAAAATGGAATAAATATATCACTGATCTCAACATAATACATCAATAATCTTTAAGCCATGGGTGCTGCTCACAACAAAGTTATGTAAGAGAATTGACTTCAAGCTTTATTTTTCCCAGATATCTGTATTACATTCATCTGATGTCTGGGTTTTTTGCTAATGCGAAGACAATATTTCTATATCTCTTTATGTGCTACACAAACAGACTTTATAGCAGACTGTTCCTACTGACTCTAATGTCAGAAAGAACAACCAAACTGTAAATTCATTATACATTAAATTGTGTGTAATTTATATAATAACTTATCCATGCCTGTACAATTGGTATGTTCCTGCATAAACAGGAAGAAATATATATATATATGAGTGTAGCAGGAGTAGACGACTTTGAGGTCGTCAGCATATAGGAATGGTTTACCTGAGGTGAAGCACTTGCAAATGCTGTTAATGTAAACTGTGAATAAAAGTGGACCTAGGACACTACCTTGCACGACCCCACTTGAGATCTGCCTAGGGTGAGACAATACAGATCCAACTTTGGTTATTTGTACCCTGTTGCTTAGAAATGATTTTAACCAGTTCAGTAATGGGTTGCGAATTCCACAAGAGTACAGCTTCTCAAAGAGAATACTGTGAGATACCATGTCAAATGCCCTAGATATATCGAAGTATAGAACAACGACTAGCTTACGTGCTTCGCGATTACTAGTGATGCAGTTGAAAAAGTCGAAGTGGCAAGTAACGCAGGATCTATTTTTGAGAAATCCGTGTTGAGACCTTGTAACAAGATCCTCCCTAATTAGGTAGTCTGACAATTGATCTTTACAACTTTCTCCATGATTCGTGAGATAACTGGGGTTATATTTATGGGTCTGTAATTGCGGACGTTTGCCCTATCACCAGATTTGTAATGTGGAATTATGAAGCTAGTTTTCCACTCACTAGGGTAAGTGCCAGTGTCCATAGATATTGAGAAGAATTTAAGAAGTAACAGGGTATATCACACCCACTGTTTTTGAAAATTATCGAAGCGAGGCCATCCGGTCCCGTACTAGTGGAAGGTTTAAGGCTTTTAATTGCTTGTACTATTAACTGATTAGTGAACACAATGCTTTCAAGGGAAGAGATAGTAAGGGGAGCGGTTTCACCAGGCATATGTGTTTCTAAACTAAAGTTTGCAAACCAATCACTGAAAGTTCACAGATAGTGGCAGGTTCATTGTAGATTACTTTGTCGTGAAGTAAGTATGGGATTTCCCTCGCTGACTGCATTCGTTTTTTAAGAAGTGCCGTTAAGTTATAAACTTTGGAGGTACTTTCAAGTGCCGTTAACTCTTCGTCGAGGTCCTTTTGAGAGCGTAGGCGCTTGATAGATTCAAGAGACTCGTGGATTGAGAGCAATAGTGATATGTCCTTAGTGGAATAGTACTGTTTCTTCAGTTTCCTTAACTTATTACGGTGTGCCCTTGGAATATATTCAGTTCGGTGTCTACTTAATTTCACTATTTTATTTGGGGCAACTGTATCTAGACAAAGGGTAACATTCCTGTAAAACAGGGTTACTAAGGCCTCCAGGGAGTCAGTGGTAAAATAGTCATCCCATTGACAGAGTCGAATAAGTTCTTGGACTAATCCCCAGTCTGTATATTTGTAACTACGACATATTGTGCTTCCTGAGTCTTGTTTGTTTCCTGTATTTAGTGGTGAGAAAGGCAGAGAGCAGAGTACCATTCTATGGTCACTACTGGAAAATCTATTACCAACATAAGTGGATACTGGGATTGTGTCATGACAAAAAACAAGGTCCAAATGTTGTCCCCACGAGTAGGTGTCTGGACGTGTTGTTGCCATCCATAACAGTCTATAGTGGCAAGTAATTCGTCGAAGCGTTGGGGGCCGGAACTAGTTAGCCAATTGACTTCTGGAAGATTGAAGTCCCCTGCAATTATTTTGTAATTAGCACTAAACGAGGATGCATGTGCAAACGATTTAGCTAATAACGCATCAGTTTCTTTTGTTGAGCTTGGTGCTCGATAAACACAGCCTATGAGAAGTTTGTACTTATCTCCATGTAAGACAACCCAGAGTGAGTCAGGTACATTATTCATTGTTTCATCTTCCACCTTACTGACTACAAATGAGTTATGTATATATATGAGACATCCTCCACCACGCTTGCAATCTCTGTTTGCACGGTGTACAGTGTAATCATCGATACCTATATGCACATCAAGTACTGAGGATGAGCACCATGACTCAGTAATCAGAGCTACAGTAGGCTTGGCGACTAATAATAATGTCCTTAGTTCAGATATCTTATTGATTAAGGAGCGTGCATTAATTAGCAATATCGTGAATAAGTCACGGGATACTACAAACTGGCTTAAAATGTCACCATAACCTAAATCTATTTGTGCGTCAGCACCGCAAGAATTTATGAATGAAAAGGAGGTCGGACTGGGTGTCTGCACATCGGAGTTGGTGTGCAATGAGGTGGTCCTAGGTGCCATGGGTCGTACCAGTGATTCAGGACACCTGGAAAATTTACCATGTGTTCCTGGATATAAGGGTAGTACAGGTTGGGCCTAGGTTGGCGGTTAAAAGGCATAGCATCAGAAGGTCTACCCATCCAACTGCTATTCGTCATACCGGTATACACCTTCGGGTTGTTTTTATAACTTAAAGGGAATTGTGAAGGAAGGTGCTTTGGCTGCAAGACTTTAGGAGTCTTGGAGCCTGACTTTCTATAAGGTGGAGCATGCGGAACACCTCCAGATGTACTTATGTTTCGAGAGGAGTTTTTCGTAACAAGTGATGGTTTGTTGGCATTCTTACTCTCAGCAGGCTTATTGAATACAAAGTATTCTTCCCCATCATTAGTCTCAACCCTGCGAAATTTGTTCATCGTGGTGAGGTTACTACGTTTGGGGGGAAATTTCTTAGAACAACTTGCAGAAGTTCTAGTCATTTTAACATCTTTCGATGAGGCTTTGTTTACAGGGGTACTGGTATCTAAATCAGTTCCTAGTTCCATTGGCAGGTGTGGTTGTTGTGTAGTTTGCTGAATGCTAGTTTCAGCACTAGGTGTCTGTTGCTGTGCACGATCCTTATTTGGTAAATCAAACTAGCTAGAGGAGGTGACCAGGTTATTACTACGCATTATTCTGCGCTGACACGGTGTTTTATCCTGAGCTACGGTTATAGACTTATAACTGCTATTCAGTCTTAAGTGATCCTGACATTTAGTAAACTTACTAGCATCAAGGGAATTACTGAATTTAAAAATGATTGGGCAATTAGCCTGGTTAGACTTTTTACGAAGTCGTTTGCATTCACATGGAACACTAGCCATGCCGCAACAAATCAGGATTTTGTGTCTTACAGTTTTCAGGGGCAGAGAATCTGGGACGTTGTAAACTATAGCTTGGTGAGAAGAGGTTATACGCTTCATCACCTCCGTAGCCAAGCAGTCAATCAGATTTTCAGCTTTATTTAGGTTGTCTGGAGATATTTTAGGATGCCTTTCTAAAAGACAGGCTATTGGGTCTAAATTCAAAAGCTTATTTTGAGTTACATCCAGTAAACACTTAACCTGGCCAATATCAGAACGGCTCTCCGTGGTATTTGAGATTGGCAGTGACATACTATCAAACTGATCTAATTTTTTCTGAATTTCACTTACTTGCCTCTGCATATCTTTCAAAAGGAGGTTTAGTTTACAGAACTCAGAGTTCTCTAACAGAACATCTTTCACCTGTATCACAGGAGTGAGATCTGCACTCAAACCATTTTGAGAGCTAGTAGTTGATACTGTATTACGAGGCGGTAATGCAGTTATAACCGAATTTAAGCCACTATCTAAAACAATTGTGTTTCTACGAACACGTTTTTTAGAGATTTGGACCATAATTTCAAGAATTATATGACAATAAGCAGTAAATAAATTTCAGAGCAAACACGTGCAAAAATGTCACCAATTTCGAACGTACCGCCATCTATCATCAGATGCTATTGCTAAACCTGAGCTGATAGTAAATGTCACCAGTGGTGGTGGTCTTGCAGGTAGACAACTTTCTGAAAGTCGAGCAACAACAGCTTTTGATCCACCGCTAACTTCATCAACTGATATCAATCAGTCGTCGTTGGTGCTGTCATCCACAATGAAAAAGACGCCCATCAACTCAAGTATCTTGTCCAATGACTATGCCAATATCAGTGCATTTGAAAGGATGAAAGGTATTGCTCAGTTTAGTGAGGATAAGCCAAGTGTAAACGAGATAGTAATTGTTAAATTGACGTGCACGAATAAAGGCATTTCTAGTTTCAAGTTACTATTTGAATGCTGTTATCTTTGGTGTAAATTACTCTGTTTCTACACTTGGTTGATCAGATATGTCGTGTGTTTGTTCGTCATCTATATTCTACGATACAATGACATGGGCGTGTTACCGTTCAGATTTGAGGATATGGCACATAGAAGGAAATCAGCAAATGAACTCTGCAACGATTTTCCAACCTAGGGCGTCAACTTGAGAAGGGTTGTAGGCGTACTGCTGTAAGTCCTACAGTTCTTCAAGGGTAGTTTGTCATGCCGGAATCC